GAGCTCTGATCTGGGAGATATGGCAAACAGAAGAGGTACATATCCAGAAGCAATTCCGGACCACTACAATGCGCCTTAAAGGTCGGCTTACTGGAAAGTCTTTCCGACCTCAGATGGTATTGTGTTATTCACCAATGTTAGAGCTTAATGAATCATCTTTCTTGTGAATTTTGTCTTGTGCCATTTGGAGTTGTGAGCCAAGATTTACGGGAAACAGAAGACAAGCATATCCAGTCGGGTTTCAAAAGGTGTTCATGTACTAAGAGTGTTTCTTCACCTCGTCTTAGGAGCCTCGGTACGGCCACACTGAGGCCATTTTTACGAATATTCTGGGCAACCCCTCGACCATTTACCTCGCCCAAAGCCAAACCGGGGCTTCCCCACTTGAAGACACAATTCTCCAAATGACTAAGTGTCAAAATCACCCTCGCCTTGTTTACCTCGGTACAGACTTAGGCCGAGGGTGTGTGCGAATGAAAGGGATCAAACCTCGACCAAAGACCTCGCCATGCAACACCCCCAAGGTACCTTGTCACGTGCTCAAACTCACAAACAGCTTACTCCAGGGTTTTAGATTCAAAGAAGATCAAAGCACAAGAATCATGCAAAGTTCAAGGAATGTTCTTCATGCTTCAGCCAAGATGCATCACACCCTCGGCTCAAAGACCTCGGCATAGACCTGTACCAAGCCAAGGGTTGGCTCCAGCAACCCAGAAAGGGCGGGTCAGTACCCAGTTTGTGTTGGGCTGACCCAGCCCAAAGCATTCCTTATATATAGTTTTTTGGGAGAAAGCCTAATTATCTTATTTTCTATCTTGTTTTCTCTTTGTTTCTCTTTCCTTTTTATTGAAAAACCGACGTGATTAAGAGATATCTGAAGGATTTCATCATTCTAAAGTTTTTTCTTATCATTTCATCATCTCCTCTTAGCTTCTAATCATGATCAACATCACCTCTTGCAAAGGAAATGGTGTGTTCATCATGATTAGTGAGTAGTCATCTTTCAAGCTTCTAGGTGTGTAGATTAGGATGCTTAGATGTTTGATCTATGATTTTTAGGGCCTAGATTCTCATTTCATTTCCTTAGTTAGCTGTTCTTAATGCTAAATCTTTGCACATCACCCTGATCTAGAGCTTACGCATTTCTCCACCTAAAAGGTGTTTGATGAAATCCTTGAAAGAGCTAAGCTAAGGGCTTTTGCCTTTTTTTTTTTTTTTTGAAAATATGTTAAATTATATTCCAAAAAAAAACTGTTCTCTTTACATCATCTTGCTCAAAGGGAGTAAAGAAATATAGTCAACGACTTAAAAACAGAGAATAGAAACAGAAATTTTTTGCCACAGTTTAGTTATCCTCTGGATTCAAACCAGAGTTGCAAGCCCTCATCGTATCGGTAGTCTCCAGAAAGCCTTAACGAGCTGAGTTGATTACGCATCATATTGTCTAGTGTAAGTACTAAACTCTGTACCAGCTGCGGAGCGTCCCCATGCCTGCGCCCATTCCTCTCTCGCCAAATCAAAGTAAGAGTGATTTGGAAAACATATCTAACCAAATGGAGGCGAACTCGATCCAGGCTATTCGAAGATATTAGAGCAACTATCTCGTCCCAGACATTCGTGTACCGATGACCCAACAATCTTCTGGTTAGATTCCTCCATACTTATTCCGAGTAAGTGCATCTAAAGAGCAGATGTGCTCTGTTTTCGGTTGGAGCAGAGCAAAAAACACAGGATGTTGATATGCATGTTCCCCATTGTGCCATAATCTCACCAGTTGACAGGCGATTCCACATCGCTAACCAAGTGATGAAAGCAAATTTTGGAGTATTTCCTGAAAACCAGACCATCGAGCACCAATCTTTTGGAGGTGGCGGTGGGTACCTGATGTTGTACCAAGTTTGCCTCGAAATGAATCTGTTGCAAAACTGGTCACCTTTCCCTTCCACAAATGTTGGTCCTCCATTGTATTCCATCGTATCACAACGGATAGAGAATCTTCAATTAGATTTAGCTCGTCTCGTCATTGACGTCATCGTCTGTGAGAGCAGATGGCATATGTGACACTTGCATAGGATGGTATGCCCAGAGCAATGAAACCAGAAGTGCCCGTGATGTTAATCAGCGGCCCTTGTGAGCACCATTCATCGTACCAGATTGATGTTTCTTCGCCGTTATTAATCTTAACACGATGAAGACCCCGAGCCAAATCCCTCATCTTAAGTAACCGATGCCATATCCAGGAGCCCTGCATTGAGTTCTCATTTAGTGACCAAAACGATTTCCCGCGAAGAAGATACACCCTGATCCAGGATGCCCACAGCGAGTTCTTGTTCGATAGTATACGCCAAATAATCCGTAAACAGCTTACTGTGTTAGCTTCTCTTAGCGCTCGTAATCCCAAGCCTCCCTCCGATTTCTTTTTGCAAACATCCGACCATGAGACTTTTGCTTTTTTCGTGCTTAGTGTTGGTCCAGACCAAAGGAATGCACTGCAGAGCGAATCGATCTCCTTCATCCAGCTCTGCGGTAAATGAAAAGCGGACATCCAGAAGTTTAAGAGTCCCAATATTACTGAAGCAAGTAACTGGAGCCGTCCCGCATATGAGATGTGTCGTACAGTCCACGATCCCATGCGTTTACGAACCTCCGCTATCAAAACTGCATAATCATTTCTAGTCATCTTTTTGTCATCAGGGGCAAGCCCAAGTAACGAACCGGAAGCGTACCAGAAGTAAGAGGGAATTGCTCTGTGATGTTTACACGATCCTCTTCGGTAATACCAGCCATATATATTGTTGATTTCTGCAGGCTGATTTTCAATCCAGAAGCAGCAGCAAACTTGTCAAAAACATCAACAATTCCTTCCAAAGAACGCAGCTTACCATCTGTAAATACCATAAGGTCGTCCGCAAAGCACAAATGAGTTAGCTTCAACTTTGAGCAATTCTTATGATATCCAAATCTTCTCATTTCAGCAGCCTTGTCAAGCATGCTGGATAAAACGTTCATACAGAGTACGAAAAGATAAGGCGAGAGTGCACAACCTTGTCGTAATCCACGCTGACTCTAGAAATAACCCACAAGTTCACCATTAACCTGGACAGAAAAAGATGCAGTCGAGATACATAATCGGATCCATCCAATAAACGGCTAGGCAGTCCAATTGCCTCAAGTACATTTAAGAGAAATCCCCATTGCACCGTATCAAAAGCTTTTGCCATATCTATCATCATAGCGTAACGTGATGGACCCAAATCTTTATGGTAGTCCTGAACCAGCTCAGAAGCAAGAAGGACATTCTCGACAAGGAGACGATCCTTTACAAACGCTGATTGGTTTGGAGCAATAATGCTTGGGAGAATCGGCTTCAGTCGGTTTGCGAGAATCTTTGAGATTATCTTATAGATAACATTGCAGCATGATATCGGTCTATAATCTTTCATTTCCTTTGCAACATTCTTTTTCGGGATTAAAGCCAGTATAGTGGAATTTACTCCCTTAGGAAGGAAGCCGAATCGGAAAAAAAGACTGAATAGCAGTTGTGACATCTCCTCCAATGATTTCCCACGCCCCTTTAAAGAATTCAGATGTAAATCCATCAGGCCCTGGAGATTTTGAGCTTGGCATCGAGAACAAAACCTTTGTAATCTCCTCCACTGTAACTTCCTTTTCCAACAGCGAACAATCATCATGACAACACTTTTTGTTTAGTAAATTCGCAAGAGTATCGACATCCATGCCTGTGTAGTCCGACGGATTATGGCAGAGAAAATCTCAAAAATGTTTCTCAGCTTCACCCTTGATGGCTAACTTATCCTTCAACACGTTTCCCTCTGAGTCCACTAGCTCTCTAATCGAATTTTTTGACTCTCTTAACCGAACTGCACGAAAGAAAATCTTGTTGCTCTTATCCCTTATATTCAGCTAGTGCAACTTAGACTTCTGTTTCAAATAGCACTCCTCAAGCTCCGACAAATGCTCCCATCTAGTAAATGCAGCCGTCTCTACTTCTACCCCTAAAACCGATGGGGCAGACGCGTTTGCTTCTTGCTTTAAGCATAGATCGTCAAAAGCCTCCTTTTTACGTTTCGACAGATCCCCAAACCTTTCTCTCGATAGTACCCTCAATTTTGGTTTCAGGTCCTTCAACTTCCTCGAAAGTCGATGCAGGGCCGATGTTGACTGAAACAGAGCTGGAGATTGTTGCCAATAATCCCCTACAGCCGGCAGAAACTCAGGCATTTTTGTCAGCGCGTTCACAAATTTGAACGGTTTTTTTACGTTCTCCCTAGTACCATCAATGTAGATTTTGCATCTTAAGTGATCAGAACAGCCCCCTGCTTCGAAAACGCAATAAGAACTGTGAAAAGCTAACAGCCATTCTTCGTTGATCAACACTCTATCCAACTTCTTGTGAACTAACCCCTCACTCGTTTTATTGCTCCATGTATACCAAGGGCCATTGATTCCCATATCAACCATAGATCAATACCTAGTTGTGTCGCGAAAATCTCTTGATCCATGTGTCTCCAGAAAACCCGAGTTCGAGTGGTCTTCAGATGACAGTGTTTCATTACAATCACCACACACCAACCATTTCGTACCCCTGCATACATTTGAGTCGTGTAACGCTTTGATCTCCTCCCACAGGATCTGTCGTTCACTAGCCAAATTTCCTGCATACACGAAAGAACAGATAAAATCCTCTTCCTGGTCTTCCATTGAAATCAGACAAGAGATCATTTGCCCGCTCTTTTGTAGCACAGTGAGTTGCACCTCCTTGCGCCATACAACCCAAATTCTTCCTAGCCTATTGTATTCATAATTTGAAGCAATAGACCAGTCTGCAAAAACCTTTGAAGCAATTCTCAAACACTTTCCCTCCTGCACACGAGTTTCCAGAAGACATCCAAACTTAAACGAGTTTCCAGAAACCCACTCCTTCACCACATTATGTTTACACGGTTTGTTAAAACCTCGAATATTCCAAGAAAAACAACTCATTGATTGTTATTTTTTTGGTTATTCTTCCTCCTCGGTCTCGAAGCTCCACCACCATTGGCAACAGAACTCGCGGTCGAGGACTTGGTTACATATCTATGAGCTGTCTTTGCTGCTCGCTGCAGTGAGTTTTGATTCCCCTCCATAACTTCCCCATCGTTTTCACTCGTAGTATGAGATTGAATCGTTGCTTCGGTATGTTTGTCCGTCGCATCTCTCTCTTCCCCTGTTTCGACTACTTCTGCACTTTCCTCATTTTTTGTTTCCTCCTCAGTCTCATCTTCCTCATTTAGAAGCTCTGCAAATCGCGAACCAGAAGAAGCCTCCACTTGTGGTGGTGAAACCTCCTGCTGCCGTCGTGATACCTTTGAGGGAGAGAGCCATTCGTAATTGTCCTTGGCAATCTCCTTCTCCAAATTCTGAGTCACAGAGGTTAACGATGCATCTGTTATTTGCGCATTAGGAACAGAGTCAGCTGCCATATTTTGCTTCTGTTTTGTTACCGAAGACAGTAAATTCGATAAAGCTTTTTCCACAGGTAAAGTTGTCTCCAAGGCTTTGGAATTCTCCGCAGTTTTTCTCTGTTTTTACTTTGGTGTATTCTTCAATACCACTGTAGCATTGCTCGTCGAGGCAATTAGTGGGCTACGTTGAAGTATTGTTATGGGTCCACTCTTTGCCTTACACTCTGCACCTGTATGGCCCCATCCTCCACAGCCTGAGCAGTGAGGCGGTAACCAGGGAAATTCATATTGAATTTCAACAGTTTTTCCCTCTATCTGAAAACAGTATGACGATGGAAGCGCCTTTGTCAAATCAACTTCAACCGAGATCCTTGCAACATCGAAATCTCTCACCCAAACTGTGTCCGGATGTAACTGCTTTGGAGCACCCACTAGACTAGCCAAAGCACTCAGCCCCTTCCAGTTGTACATCCTAGGAGGTACGTTCTTTAGTACCACCCACAACGGTATTGACTTCAAAACCGGCTGAGCTTCTTCCTCTATTGGGCTCCACTTGGAGACCAGCATCGGGATGTCTTTGATATTCCACATCTTCCTCCTGAGCACTCGATCCCTAATGCCTCTGTCGTTGATGCGGAACTTCACCGTTGTTACATTCACAACATACACATCGATTTTTGCAGCTTTGTTACCCAAAGGCCAAATCTTATTCACAATCATGTGAATACATCCAACATGAGGAGCAGTTTTCAGGAACTTCCCCAAGATACAATCCTCCCACATTGGCGCTTCATTCAGAATCGAATCTGGAACTCGGAAAACTTCACACCATCTATATCCTCTGTCTCCAGATTATACATCTGCAAAACCTATTTCCTTTGCACTACCTCCGACCACTTAGTCGCCCGAACGTCACCTTGCTCCTTCCCAGAGACTCGTATCTCCTGCTCAGTGAAAAGAGATTCCTGCAGAGGATCCGCTGAAACCCGATCTCCCAAACCCTTCGCCACCTCCGTTTCCTGAGTTTCGTCCACCGCTTTCTCCGCTGTGCTCTCCACTAATGCCTCTTTCTCCATTGTCCCCGAGATCTCCATCGCCGCCTGAGCTTCCTCCGATGACGGGGGGACCTCCTGTCCCGGCGCCGCCATGACTTGCGGAGGAAGTTTGATGAAAACCCTAGTCGCCTTTTTATCGCCTAATCGCCTTTTTGTTAATTGCTTGCTTTTCCGTTCAGAGCTTATGCCTTTTTCATCATGAGAGTGATAGTTTAATGTATAAATTACATATTAGAACTGTTTCTTAATGCTCACTGATTCATGCTTCTCAAGTGGAAATTTGGTATGAAAGAGGATTAGTGTAGAGATTGATACCTTCATGATAGGATTAGTCTAGATTGAGATCATGTGATTGCTTGTTGCATCTTTGTGTGTAAGATTCAGTCTCTCTTAAGTAGAAACTGTCTGGTCATTATTAGACTTGAACCTTTATGCTTGTTGATTGCTTAGTCTTGCTTAAGGTGAATTAATCTTGATTAAGTGATTTGCAAAGGAATTATTGTCATGGGAGTAAATTAATATGCATTTGAATTCTAAACTAAAGAGTAACAAGTGTTGCATTATGTTCTTAACATCATGAATCAATATCTAAAGTACCCTAATCAATGATCACATCTAGAGGTTTAGTGTTTATCATTTGTTTAATCACCATCATCTTGTTTAGTTTGCTTGTTTAGTTCATTGATCATATTGCTTTGCTTGTTTATTGTTTATGTTTTCTTGTTTCTTAATTACTTTGTCACCAAACCCATCTTTTATTAAGCTTGATTTAAGAACTTATCACATAAACTAGTGTCTAGCAACCACACTTATGGATTGATACCCTTTATGCTACAACAGCTTAGGGATTGATAACCCATCTAAAAGCCTTAAAAACTCTTAGTTATCAGGTTTGCGCGTTGCTAACACTTGGACGTCACTACCAGCGGAATATTGATATGAGTGAACAGTGGAATCACAACTAAGGTCAATTTCGGAGGTAACTTCAACGAGATTTAAGGGGACCGAGCTCTCAGAATCACTCTCACTATCAGACATTATGGGTTCCTAATATAAAAGTTCCCTAATTTAGAAGATTGAAAGAGCTCTGATACGAAACTGAAATAAAGCTACAGGCAAGGTTACATGGAATCTAAAGAGAGATGCGAGATAAGAGAAAACTCTTACCCTTAAAGCTTTGAAAATTGGAAGTTGTTACTGAAGTGACCAATCCTGAGCAGAAATGACAACAGAAGAATCTCAGCCAAAAAATTAGGTGAAGCAGAAATGGGAGCGAACTGAGCTTAAGATAACACCAGAAAACGCAGAGTACCAGCAACTCTCATAGTGAATTATGGAGAGAAAAATATCAGCAATTACAAAAGTAAAAAGCTGTGTGTGTGAGCCGCTAGTGAAAAGAGGTCGTGAGGGAGGTGAGGTAGACAATATCTCCTTTTAGGTCAGGCTGTTGGGCTTATAAATCTTAAAGCCCATTTGACTAAAAATTTGGTGCAATGGGAAAATTTCTCTCGCGTGGCTAAAGGGAATGGGTGAAGCCCATTTAAGTAAAAATGGTGGGCGATTTTGAAGCCCATTACATGGTCAAGTGTGTGTGTTTTTAACAAAGCACATCATGATTCTTCTTCACGTAAAGATGAAATTAAAAGTGCTATGTTTGCTATTGGGTAATCAACTAGTAGTGTCCACACATCTGATTCAACATTAATGTTAGTGAATATCTTCAAAGTAAAACTCTTTATGTCTCGATAGAGATAATGTGAGGTCTACTACTCTCTAAATTCTAAAATAGAAGTTAGAGAGTAGGGGGGGGGGGGGCAAGTTGTAAGGTGAAATAAAATCAACTATAGGATCTATCAAGTAGGTTCGACCCGTGAAAGGTTTGGCCAATGTAAGGTCTGAATACGTAGTAGGGTCGGACCGACATACGATCCAAATAATGGAAAAAAGTTCGATTAACAGAAAGTTCGAATAAAGAAAAATTTTAACCGACAAAAGGTCCAAATCTTCTAGAGATAAGTACTAATAACATACATGTCATCCTAATCCGAAAAGGCTTAGGGTTTGGGAAAGGCTTATAACAGGAGGAGCTCCTGAAAGACAGAGGATATGTAGAAATAAGAGGAAAAAAACCCTAGAGAGCATATTTTGGCAATAGCTTAGCACCTGCGATATACTTGTAGTTTGGAGCTTTGTTATTGGAATAAAGATATCTTTTTCTTTTATCGATCCATATAACTATCTTTCAGTCGAACCTGTTAAAATTTCCCCAAACAGTTGGGGGCTAGAAGGAGGGGGTTTACAGCTTTAACTACGTGAGACATGTCGAACAGAGAAGATAACAATAATGTCCCTGGGAACACCAATGTTCCAACTGATCATGCTGCTCAATTAGAGTAACTTATAGCCCAGATGAAGCAGAATGAAGAACGACTTGCAAAACCAGAAGCAGAAAACGCTTCCTTGAAGGAGGCAAACACTACTCTCATTGGTGATGGAAACACAGATGTCGATCCTCGTGCCAGATTTCGAACATGGGTCCCCCCAATGTTACCATTGGATGATACTGTTCGACTAATGGGTAATAGAAACAGGCAGCAATATGAAGACAACATACAAGACGATGATGGAACGCGTGCTACCCAAACTATACATGCACCTGTTGGTCCGACAATTCATCCAACAGAAGACGTCCAGCTAAATCATAAGATTTCCAAACGAATAGAAGTTATGGAAGCTTTAATCGGATGACTTCCATGAGTAGCTCCCCCAATCACGAAAAGTGCCCCTAACTCATATGCTGATACCTCGTTCACGGACGCGATTGCATTGGTGGAGATGCCAAGAAAGTTTACACTTTCTACAATGAAGATGTACAACGAAACGACAGACCCGGATAACCACATATCACAATACAAACAGAGAATGTTTACAACAACCATCGCAAAGGAACTTTGCCAAGCTACAATTTGCAAAGGATTTGGTTCAAGTCTTACGGGACCAGCCCTTCAATGGTTTACAAATTTGCCAAACGCTTCAATTGACTCCTTTGCATCATTAACAGATTGATTCGTTGAACAGTTCGCAAGTAGTAAGAATTTGGAGAAGACAGCCGACGATCTTTATGAGGTCGTGCAGAAGAAAGGTGAATCATTGCACAGTTATGTGGGACGATTCAACAAGGAGAAGGTGTCTATACCAGCATATGTCACGTCTACTGCAATTTTGGCTTTCAAAAGAGGTTTTCTCCAAAACGGTGACCTGTATAAAGAATTGACGAAATATCAATACAGGACAATGGAAGACGTGCTATTTAGAGCATGGACACAAATCCGGTGGGAGGAAGATCCAGCCTACGAGCTTCGTCACTCCCCACGCTTTGATTCATGTGTGGTGAGAGATGAAAGATCAACCAGAGATGACAAGCCGTATTAAAGACCTTGCAGTGAGAATGCCAGCAGGAGAAACGACAACAGAGACGCTCATCGACCAATCAGCAGGATTGAAAGTGAGAGGCGACCACCATCAACTTGGCCTGACATGAGTAACCTTTCACTTTCTCCTGTAGAACTGGTTGCTGCTTTGAACCAGATGAGTGTAATGGTAAGATGGCCACCAAAAATGAAGGCACCTGCAGAAAGGCGTGACACTTTAAAATGGAGCAATTTTCACAGTGATCACAGTAACTGGACAGAAGATTGTGTCTCATTGAGAATGAAAGTGAACGAATTATTGAAGAAATGCCACTTGAGAGAATATCTAACTGATATAGCTAGAAATCGCTTTAATTAAAGAAATAACGAGAGGACGTCAAAAAAATCTACTCCTGGGTGACCTCCGAAGCACGATCGTATCATTTATGTTATCTATGGAGGTTCGAAGATCAGTGGAATATCACATTCAGCTGCCAAGAGGAGCACTAGAATTGCTAAAAGTCATCAGGGAGATAGTCGAGTAAGGTGTGAT